TGTGAAAAGGAGGTGATACTACCTGCCTCACATGGGAAAGGAAGGAGATTCTGTCGGGAAAAGTGTGATGGTTGCATCTTTTTTCTCAGACCTTCAGCCCCAGCCTGGCTCAGGACTTGCCTGCTGAGGCAGCTACTCAGAAACTGGGGTGGGGGCAAGCAATGCCTTTGGTGTCCGGGGTAGGGATTGAGAGGCCTGGAGGGTTCCTCCTGGCCTAGGGCTCTCTTTGGCCCTGGGATGGGTTGGGAAGCTGGGCCCAGCCCTGCCCTCCGCGTGCAGCCATCTCCTTGTCTCAGAACCTGCCTCCTCCACACTTAGCCCCACGAGTGTTGCCAGATCCCTCTGGCTGCATGCTTGCTTACCCCTCGTGATTCTCTCATCCTCAACCCACCAGCAAATACCTAGGGTTGAGGGTTGAGAGAACAAAGAATACAAGAGAGCCCATCCCTGAGCTTCAAGTAGAAATGCGTGGCGGGAGGGTGGAGTGGGGAGAGCAGGGCTTGGTCTCTTCCTGGGGTCTTCCCACTCTAGTTCAAGTAACGTGGAGGCAAGGGAATGGAGCAAGGGGTTTGAGGGATGACCTCAAACCTTGAAATTTTCCCTTTAGAGCATGCATGTATTGTGTGTTTGGTGAGGGCTGATGGTTGGGGGTAGACCAGAAGGATGAGATGATCTGGAAGCGAGTCAGACCTTCCTGTCAACCTCTCTCCTTAAGCTCTAGGCCCCTTTCCTCCAGCTGCCACCACTGCCTCCTCCTATGCTGAGTCTCCTTATGTAGGCCTTTGGGGCCCATTATGGCTGGGTGGGGACAGGTGTCCGGGCCCAGCTGCTCCCTCTTGTCTCCCCCACCTGTCAGCCTGGGGGTGGGGAGCTAAGGGGGAGGGGAGATAAGGGAACCACTCAGCCCCTCACCTGTTCCGAGGGGTGGGTCCCTGGTTGTTAAGTATAGCAAGGGGGTCAAGAGTAGACAACAGGCAGGACTTCCGCACAGAATAGCTCCAGATCATAGTAATGACAGGGAAAACTTGGTAGGTGGAGGTCCTTGCTGGCAAAAATCTGAGGGGTCCCTGCACAGCATCCTCATGAAAGGGTAAAACGCCAGATATTCGTAAGGGGCATGGATTTGGGGACATGTATTTGCATAGCCTTGTGCAGGTACTGCTGTCCCCACCCCGTTCCCTCTGGGCAACCCCTCCATCTGGCTGGGCATCTTAGCCTCACCTGGCACCTTTCCTGAAAGCAACAAGCTAATCCTGTAAGAGCTGCCTGGCTGGCTGCCTCAGCAGGCCCACGCAGCCATGATGCCCGCCCTCCCTCTGCTGCCAGGGGCTTAGAGGACTGTCCTTTGAGTTAGAAGGAGACCCAGCCATTGCCCTGAGCGGCCCCTTTAAATCCTCGGTGGCTTCTCGAGGTCATGATGTCTCTAGGAGGATTTGCTTTCCCTGATTGGATTGGCCTCTTTCGGGTCCCCTGTCATCATCGTAGGTGAAGGCTTCATGTTCTCCACCTCCCCTTTCCTCATAATTGGTGCTGTCCAGGCTGAGGGCCCAGGCCTTGGGTTCTCTCCCCTTTCTTTGTTCTCATGTCCCAGCAGTCAGGGCTCAGACCCCCTTCAGAATCTGCTTCAGCCAGAGCAGCCCTGTCTTAGTTCTGTGGGTGAGAAGAAGGGATCTTGCTGCTTTACACAAGGAAATGAATGCTGCCCAGGAAGAAAATGCCCTTCTGAGACTGTCTGCTGCCTGCCTTTCCATTTTTTTTCTCTTCAGCCTCCTCTTCCTTTGGCCAGGGGCCCACACTCCTCATTACTCCATGCCCTTATTTCCATGGGAAGTCCCTCCCCTGATCTAACCATGAGCCTGCCCGCTGCAATGGCAGGCAGCCCAGACCCAGCACTGGCGGCATTGTGCTCATTCCAACGGCTCTCAAGCTTACCCGCCCCCAAGGCCCCAGCTGCCACTTTCACTTCTGTCTCCTGAGACCCCAGAGGGAAGTTGGGTTGGGGAGGTGGAAGGTGACACACTAACCGTCCCAACTGCCCCCACCTCTCCTCAGCCAGGGCTTCTGATGCCCAGGGGCCCCCATCCACTGCTCTCGTTTAGATGACCCAAATGGGTTAGGTAACAGTGGAAGGACTGGAGGCAGTGGGAGGGATGGCAGTTAGGTAGCAGGAAGGACTTCCCAGGACTGGAGACCACTGCTGGGCTTCATTGTTCCAGAGGCTGTGGGTGAGGTGTAGATACTTTGGACAAATGTAGGTCAGACTTAAAGGTAGGTGGGAAACTGGTTGTCCACAGCTCCCATTGGTTGAGGTACAATGCTGGGGCCTCCATGCCCTCCCACGTGTCACTAGCCTCGCATGCTTGGTTGGGGGGCTTCTGACAAAGCAAGCTTGAGCCCCAGAGATTACTTTGAGTCCAAGGACTCAGCCCTGAGGAGTTCTTTCTGTAGTATCTATCCTACCTGCTGTCCTGGGCCATCTCCTCCCATCCTGCACTGCGGATGGGTTTTGGAAATGGAGACAGAAATGGAAGTAAAGGACAGCTCACCTCCGTCCTTCTGCTGCTGCCCCGACCTTGGCACTAAAGAAGGGAATGGAATTCTTCTCCTGCGACACTCTAAGGCAGTGGCAGAGCCAAACTTCACCCTGTGAATCTTACCAAACTCCTCTAGCTGCCATGCTTGCTTATTCCTCGTGATTTCACACCCCTCCCCCGTCCCCGCCTAGACAAGAGTAGGGGACCCAGTTGGACTGAGAGTTCTAGACTGTATCACTGGGGGTATTTATAAATTCAGAAATGCTTTCTGGAGGGGAAAGATGGGAGCAAAGGCCTGAGGTGCCAAGAACGCCACTTGGTGTCCACAGGTGCCTAGGGATCCTGGGTAAGGGTGACCCAGGTCCTGGAATGAGAATTTGAGCCTGAAGGAATAAGATCAGAGACACTATGCAAATCTCATGCAAATGAGCGGTGGTGAGTCACTGCTGCTCGGCCTGCTGGGATGGAGTATGAAGCCAGCCTTAGGCTTGGGTTCTAGAACTGGTCCCACCAGTGACCGTAACAGTGACCTTGGGGTAGTCGCTGCTCAGTAACCACAAGCAGGAGGTGGGTCTGATGGGCATTCCTGTGTGAGGGGATTGGGATGGCTGAGCCTCTGCCACGAGGGCCTTGTGTGCCCCACTTGGGACTTGTTCTGGCTGACCACAGCCTTTGTCAGCCCTGGGCCATCTGTTTAGAAGTCACCCACCGCTTCACCAGCTCCATCCTGACTCTCTTCTAGCTCCCTCGTTGCCCAGCCAGGCCATCTCTTTAGTTCCTCTCCATGAGTTACACAATTCTGACCTCCCTTCCCTTTGGGCCTCCGCAGAGAGCTTAAGAGCTGTGTGTTTGGGCCAGAAGGGCATCTGGGTACTTAGTCCACCAGCTACTTATAATACTGGCCAGTGGGGTGAAGCCTGTAGAAGGCAGTGACTTACTCAGGATCACACCTTAGACCCAAGCAGGGACTAGAACCCAGGTATCTAGAATCCCAGCTCAGAGTCCCCATGTTTCCCTAAGCTATTCATTGCCCTACCTCACCCATTCCTTTTCTACTGGGACTCAATCTCACGTTGCCCCCGATACTTCCTGAGATCAGTCTGGGTAGCTCTAGGAACTTGTAGGGGGTGGTTACCTAGGAGCCAGCCCAGAGGCCATAAGGGGAAGGTCAGAGCTGGAGTGGTAAGTGCTGGACCCTGGGAGACAGGCTGCTGCCTTTTAGGGAGCCAAACGGCCTCACAGCTGCTACAGGAAGGATGACAGCTAGACTACAGGAAGGACAAGCTGGGGTGGGGAAGACATGAGGAGGCTCAGGAGACAGACCCTCACCGGCGAGGCATCTCCTGGGCAGAGAACAGGATGACCCCATCCCAGGAGACTTGCCAGGGAGAAGAGGGCGGGAAGCCTAGGGTGGGGCGCCGGAGAGTTGTCCAGCGGAAGCTGCGGAGAGGGCTCAGCCCTGCTCTCCATACCGGGTGCTCCCCCTGACAAGTCAGTTCCTGTCCCTGAAGCTGAGGCTGCAGGGCCTGCCCCCCACTTGAGTTTCCAGGGTGCCTGGGGCCTGAGACCACCCCCTGCCCCAGGCCCAGCTTTCCTGGACTGCCCGCCCCCACAGCCCGACAGCCCGCCCCTAGGTCCCCTGTCGGTGAGTTAAAATTAGCTCAGTGCCCAGGCTAAAAATAGCCCCTGCCCAGCCCTGAGGCTGCTGGACTGGGGGAGGGGAGTCCCTGGGGGAGGGAAAGACGGTGGGAACCAGGGATTTGGGTAGTGAGCCTGCCAGACAGAACTTTGAAGGGTTGGGGCTGGGGCCCTGCCTTTGAGATCAGACCCTAGAAGCACTCTGGGGTCAAGAAAAGAGGCTGCTGTGGGAGGAGGTGGGGACAGAGAGGGGACAGAGAAAGGAGCATGAGAGGGAAACCCAAGGGGGGCCCAGCAGCAGTCCCAGCAGGAGCGGGTGTGACAATTGGGCTGTGTGTGGGATCGGGGAGAGGGACAATGTGAGGCTCCCGCCTTGACTCAGGCTTCAGAGGAGTAATGCCCCCCACTTCCTTTGTGAAGGAAGAACTCACTATGGGAACCATAGCATGATCCTGGACCATCTTGCCAGGGTGTTTGGGGAGCATCACCAGGTTTACCTTGCCACTGCATCGCCCAGAGCTCCTTAGCCTGTGTCTCTGCACTAGGGAAGAGATCCCAGGGCTGAGAGTGGGAGAGGGAATGACTGAGAAGGTTGTGAGCCTGGGAGTAGACTGGGTATTAAGGCAGGACCTGGGAATCAAGCTGGGCGGCTGTGGTCTTTGGTCCTTACCTCTGCTGCCTCTCAGGGCCAGCCTGCCTGCTCTGGGATGCTCCTAGTAGGGCTGTGTCTGGGCCCAGTCCAGGCTCCCAAGGGCCCCCTTGCCTCTCCCTGCCCTTGCCTTGGGTGGGACCTGCCCCTCCCTTGTCTGTCTCTTGGCTGGACTGCAAGTTCTCAGAGGGCAGGGGTGGTGTCCTGTTGAGTTATTTCCCCAGCGCTGGGCCAGGAGTCAGTCCTAGAAGCAGTGTTGAACCTGCTTCTTGTTCTCTACCTGCCTCTCTCTGCTTTGTCTCTGTGGGTCTCCTGCCCCTCCCTCTCTCTTCTAGCCCTCTCCTTGTCTGTCTGTCTCTGCCCCATACTGCCTTCTAGCCTTGCTGCCTCTTTTTCTCTGCCATCTTTCCTGTGTCTGTGTGTCTGTCCCCCTCTGCCACCCTCTTCTGTGTCTGCCTTACCCACGCCTCCTCCCTCATTAGTGAGCAGGCTGCTTGAGGCCGCCTGACTGTGGGGGTGACAGGTGGATTGGATTGTCACCCCCTCCCCCAGCGCCTGCTGCTTATTTCATGCCCTGCAGCCCAGCCACAGGGAAGGGGCGGGAGGAGGGATGACAGCTGTCTCCAGCGCCTCCTGCCTTCCCCTCCAGTCCTCAACCTGCAGCCCGGAGCAGCCTGGGAGGGAGAGATGAAGGGCCTGCCTAATGAGTGCTCCCTTTCTCACCATGTGGAAGAGCAGGTTGAAGCCCACTGCTCTGTGATGTGAGGCAGCTCACCCAGCCTCTCTGGGCACTGCTCCCTTTTGACCTGTGCTGGTATGGGAGCTCTGGTAGCAGATGCCCTGTCGTTTCTTTGAACCTTGGGACCACTAGGATGGGAACAGATATGGGTGGAAGGGTATAGGGGAGAAGGAAAAGTAGGTGGTCCCCTGCCAAGAGCAAGAAAGAGAGGATGGAGGCTGGCCATCAGAAAGGAATTCTCCTGCAGCTTATGGGAAGGACAGCCCTGCTCAGCCCTGCTGCAGCTGCAGCTCCAGGAAGGCTGCCCTGACCTCTCCCCCTCACCACTCTCCCCACTGGCCCCAGGCCACCCTCACACAGGAACTGAGATAGCATCATTCTGAAACCCGAGAATGGTTTGAATATTGCTCAGGTACCAAGAGGTGTTGCACTGGGGGAGGCAGGGACCTGTTTATTCTCCCATGCCCCCTCCAAACCAGTCCTCCTTTAGGGTACATTTTGCACATCATTTGTACCTCATTTGCGAGTAAACACAACCCGTAGGTTCTAATTGGGTCTGTAGCTGAGCTTGGAAAAATGGCTATCAGTGGGGTCCTTCTGGATCCCCCTGGCCCCCTCAGCTCTCCTTCTTGTCAAGGGCATTGTCAGATGGGCCTCCTGCCCTGCATCCTCCGTGCTCTCCATTTGTGAAGACCTCTCCTCAGCCACCCTTCTCCACAGTTGGTGAGTCTGTGCCTGCTTCCCTGGGGCCAACCCAGATGTCCTCCTCCCCCTGTCTTTGCTTCTCCCATGTCCACCAGGAAGGCCCTGCCTTTGCCTGTCCCAGCACCCCACCATGAGGTTCACCCTGCCCATGGAGTCAGGTGAATCAGAGTCAAGCAGCCAGAGCCTTTAGAGCCTTTGAAGGGAACTTTTGGTGACATAGATATTGTCAGCCCGAGGAGTCATAGCTGTGGCCTGAGGTCAGGATTGGACAGGCCCTGGGGCCCTCAGAACAAGAAGGCTATCCTGACCAATCCCCTGTCTCTTTGGTAGCCCAAGCCCTTCCAACCCTGGGCTCCAGATACCAGGCAGGATGAAGGAGAGAGGGTTAGAAGAGAAGCAGCCAAAGGCCAGATCATCTGTGAGGGCTTCCTAGAGGAGGAGTAGATCAGACAGGAGAAGAATGGGGCCAGGCCAGGCTGGAGAGGAGAGACTCACATCTGGAGAACAGATGCCCAGGCCTCTGGCTCCTGCCAGTTGGTTAGGTAATTAGGCAGAGGGCTAATTAAGGAAGTCCAGGTGTTCATTAAAATCTCCCTAATTGGGTTGGAGGGAAGTTAGCCAGGATAGGCCACCACATCTTGGATAGGGTCAGGTTAGAGGGTACTTTGTGCCCACCTAGGCCCCGGCCACTCCTTCTTTCAAAGTCAGGGTTGAGTTCATGTTCTGGCCCCAGGGCTTTCAAAGACCCTGCAGCAATGTGGAATGGAGAGCAGAAGGAAAAAACGGTCAGTACAGACTGCGCCTGCTTTGTAGAAGGGTTTGTGGTTAGATAGAAGGAAGGACTGCCCAAGGCAGGGGCATCTCCTCCTCTGGCAGTGTTGGCACAGGGTTGGGAGCAGCAGTGGGGAAAGGGCCCTGGGAAGCATAGAAATATAAAAAGTGCTTTGGGCTACCTTGGTAGGGATTGAGTATAAATAGGGTCTGGTCTTTTTAACCCTGACTTCTCTCTGTCAGACGATGCTCAGTGAATCTCTGTGGCTTCCCTGCCTTCTCAGCCCTGATCCCTCTCTCATCCCAGCTCCCCCAGCATGAGGCGGGGGTGGGGGGGGCGGTGTAGGAGATCAGCCAGGGAGCTGGTTGCCAGGCGACAGTTGCCTAAGCAACCCCATCCTCTCCATCTCCATGTGCTCAGGGCTGCTCCTTAGAAGACTTTGGAGTCTCACCCTCTGCACCAGCCAACCTGAGGGTGGGGAAGGTTGAGGACTAGTATAGCAGGGGTGGTTGAAGGGTGGATGGTGTCCAAATCTTCAGGAGCAGTTAGGAGAAGAAGGGTTCTAACTCCGCAGAGGATAGAGTGAGAGGAACTGGTACTGCAGCAAGACTGATGGAGGTTAGACTGCAAGAAGGACTTCTCGCAGCATCACAACAACGAAGTCATATTTTCTTCTTTTCAACAGACATTTCCTGAGCTCCACCCTATAGGAGTTAGAGTAGTGAAAAAGACAGATGTGATTCCTGCCCTCATGAAACTTCTGTCTCATGGAGAAGCCAGAAGCACAGAACTGTAATTATTCACAGTTGTGATAAGTGCTAAAAAGATTACAGGAGTGACTTTTCTGAGGGTCATGAGAACAAAGAGAGACCTCTTCCAGTTTGGAGGAAGAGGCAATATTGGTCATAAGCTGACAGAGGTTACATCTCAGCAAGAATTTGTTTATGAACAAAAGGTGGTTTGAGGGAGATAGTAAAGGGGAGAGAGGGAAGGTGGATGCTGTAAGCTAGAGGAGCCCAGCAGTTCCTGCATTTACCAGTCTAGACTGGGTTTTCAAGGCCAGGCCAGAGAATCCTATTTAAAAAGCCAACTATTTGTAGCCCCCTCCTCTTACCCTCTGTGTCCCCTTCCTTACCTTCCCTGCCAAAGCCCCCACCACTGTAGCTCTAGAAAGCACGGTCTTTGGATTGCACTGAGAAGCAGGGGAGCTGAAATCCCTGGGCTGGAGCCTTTGCAATGGGAACTTGGCAGACATTGGGGTCACAGGTGAGGAATGGGGTCTCTGGAGCTGGTTTGGAGCTCAGGTGTCTGCTGGGCCACTCAGGATTGGCTAGGCTGGTGTTGCTCTTGTCCCAGCGTGTGCACGGGGTACCAGTAGGAGGGCCAGAGCCCATGGAGCACTTTGAGGACAAGGAGGAAGGGAGGAGTCCGGACAGGTGGCTCACACCCATAATCCCAGCACTTTGGGAGGCTGAGGCGGGAGGATTACTTGAGCCCAGGAGTTCAAGACCATCCTGGGCAACATAGGGAGACTCTGTCTCTACAAAAGTCAAAAAATTAGCTGGGCATGGCAGTTGGTCCCAGCTACTTGGGAGATGGAGGCAGAAGGATCACTTGAGCTCAGGAGTTCAAACCTAGCCTAAGCAACATAGCCTGTATCTACTAAAAAAAAATTATTAATACCCTGTATCTACTAAAAAAAATTAATAACTTATCTGGATGTGGTGGCACACACCTGTGTTCTCATCTACTTGGGAGGCTGAGGCCGGAAGGTTGAAGCTGCAGTGAGCTGTGATTGTGCACTCCAGCCTGGGCAACAGAGCAAGACCCTATCTTAAAACAAAACAAAACAACCAAAAAAAAAATCAAAAGGGTAAGGAGTCATTTGAAGAACAATGCATCTGATTGTTTTCTGTAGATATCCAGGCAAAGCAGAAACTCTCCAGCTAGGCTGGGGAGCAGTCTTGGTAATGGGGCCGGTATTCCCAGCTCCTCCCAAATTCATAGATTCCTTATCTTCCCTCTCCCGCTTCCCTCATGACCAAGAGACCAAGGCTGAACTGTAGCATCTACTGTGGTACCATAGGGGCCGTGTTGAGTGGGGCTGGAAAGACTCTAGGGAAACTCAGCAGCCATTGGCAGTGGGAGCTGGGGGGTAGAGGTAGGAGTTGTTCTCCGTCATCAAACACCTCTACCCAGGTAGTGGGCAGTGGGGTGCAGGGGATCAGAATAGTGGCTGGGGGTCTGCATCCCTAGACCCTGCAGTAGAGTCTCTGAGCATGGGGCTCTATGGAAGGGGAGCTCTGGAGTGGAGGGCTTGCCTTTTCTGGTCCAGGCTCCTCCCAGGACCCAAATAGAGTGATGTTAGAAAGCACGGGCCCCAGTTCACTGTCCTCTCCAGCATCTTACGGAAAGCTCCAGTTTTGGGCCGGGCGCAGTGGCTCACACCTGTAATCCTAGTACTTCGGGAGGCTGAGGTGGGTGGATCACCTGAAGTCAGGAGTTCAAGACCAGCCTGGCCATCATGGTGAAACCCCATCTTTTAAAAGAAAAAAAAATTTTTTTAGAAAAAAGAAAACTCGGGCTGGGCGCGGTGGCTCAAGCCTGTAATCCCAGCACTTTGGGAGGCCGAGGCGGGTGGATCACAAGGTCAAGAGATCGAGACCATCCTGGTCAACACGGTGAAACCCCGTCTCTACTAAAAATACAAAAAATTAGCTGGGCATGGTGGCGCGTGCCTGTAATCCCAGCTACTCAGGAGGCTGAGGCAGGAGAATTGCCTGAACCCAGGAGGCGGAGGTTGCGGTGAGCCGAGATCGCGCCATTGCACTCCAGCCTGGGTAACAAGAGTGAAACTGTCTCAAAAAAAAAAAAAAAAAAAAAAAAAAAAAAAAAAAAAAAAAGAAAAGAAAAGAAAAAAGAAAACTCCACTTTGGATGCAAGGAATCATAGCTGGAGGGGCCCTGAAGTCATTCTGTGCCTCCATCCCATCCTGGGCCCTTCTAGTCCTCGAGGACCCACCCAGCCTGTGTAGGCACTGCCCACACCGGAGAGCATGCACCTTTGCTGGCTCAGGCTGTGCTGCCATCCCTGAACCTCCTTTCATCCCGTGGTGCCTCCTGGAGTTGTGCAGTGCAGGGGCTGTTTCTCATCCTGGCTTTTTAGCATGGAGCTGTTCAACCAGTGGGCTGTGAGGGGGTTACAGGTGTACTGAGATAGCAAGTTCTCTGCCTGCTGCCTCCATCCGCCTGGCTGCCAGTAGCCTCCCCAGTGTATGTCATTTGGCCCTGTATTTTCTCTGTGCTTCAAGATGTACAAGATTGGGAAGCACTATTCTTAAACTGAGCTTGGGTTCTAGATGTGGCCCATACCTCTAGAGCAGGAATCAGCAAACTATGGCCCGTAAACCAAATCTGCCCCGTGCCCATTTTTGCAAATGTAGTTGTATTGGATCACAGCCATGCTCGTGCTCATTCGTTTATGCATTGCTGTCTGTTGCTTTCATGGTACAATGACAGAGTTGAGTAGTTACAACAGAGACTGTATGGTCTGCAAAGCCTGAAATATTTACTGTCTGGCCCCAAAATTTCCATCTCCTGGTCTAGAGGAATGATTTCATTGTTTTGAGTGCACAACTCTTTTCTCAAACAAAAATCTTAGGCTGGGTGTGTCCGAGGGTAGCAAGTTAGCTCAATTGATTACTCACAGTCAGTTACAGATCGAACTCCTTGTTGGACTCTTTCCTCTTTTCTCACTACTACACTTGACTAGGCTTATAAAAATAAAAATAGGGGCGCACGCAGGTCCCTCCACGGCCCCGTGCGCCCCGCGAAGAAAATATATTTTAAAAAATAAATAAAAATAAAAATAACCCTTAGGCTTCAGTTCGCTGAGTAGGACAGATTGGTGTGGAGGAACTCTAGTTGAAGGGAGATGTGGGTGCCATGACCCCAAGCCGCACCGCAGGACTCCAGGCCCCAGAGTTCCATGAGCCGGTATGAGGCTCACTGCTCTAGACCTGCTCCAACATGTTCTTGAGCCAGGGGCACCAGAGACACCCATAGTGGCACCAGGTACACTGCTTGTTGTTCACTCACTGGGCAGATGTTCTCTCAGCATCGTCTTCACTCCAAGCTCCAGAATGGGAACCATCATTCCAGGCCAGAGGAGCAGCTGGAGCACCCCAGTGTCTGTACTACAGACAGGTTCTAGAGAGAAGAATGGGCCATGGGATATTCCCTAAGCTCCAGACCCTTGGAAGCCAGGAGGTCACTTACGCTGACCTAGAGCCTGAGGACAGCAGTGACCAAGGGGAAAGAGCCTGGGCCTTGGTGTGAGCTCCAGCTTGTGCCTGGCTGTGGCATACCACTGCCTCAGGCAGACAGCATTGCCTCATTTTGAGGGTGGAGCTCAGATGCTGCTAGCCTCTCACAGGGGTGCTGTGTGAGCCTGGCCTGTGTACCCAAGGAGCAGGTCTGGAGGTTGTGGGGGCTCAGCGTCCTCTCATGACCCTCCCCTTCCAGGAGGCTGTGCAGAAGGTATCCTGCAGACCATGAACTGAGCACTGTTCCCAGACCGTTCATGAGCACAGTGTAAGGTGTGCCGAGACCCACCACCCAGCAAGCCCCTCCCCTCCGTAGCACTGAGGACCCCCGGAGAAGATGGGGAGGAAAAAGATTCAGATCCAGCGAATCACCGATGAGCGGAACCGACAGGTAGGGAAGTCCTAGAGCCACATGAAGCAGGTGAGGGCAGGGCTCAGGCCTCGCCTCGGCTCCTTCCAGGCATTCCAAGAGGGCTTGTGGAAGAGGGGGAAACTCCATAAGCTATTACGGAAGGGGAAGGGAGATGGGGAGAAGAGGAACCCCAACCTCTTTGCAGCTCTTGAAACTCTGTGTCCCGGGACTCCAAGGCTCATCTGCTGCTGCAGCCAGATGAGCCTGTGTTCTCGTCCTGGAGCCGTATGCAAGCCTTAGGTCACACTAAGGCACTCCCCCTTTCCCAAGAGGAAATCTTTCCCTCTTCTTCTCCACTGACCTCTTCATAGCCTCCAGCACAGAGGCGTGGAGTTTGTCCACCTGAATCCTGCCCCTTCAGTGAGTGGGCTCTGGGCTGTATCTCCACTGTTTGTTGGCCTACAAGCACTAGCCTGGTCCTTCCCCAAACCAGAGACTCCTGAGACTAGGGGCTGTGTCACCCTGAGAATGGGGACTCCTGAGGGCAGGGGCTATGTCCAGCCATCTGTAGGCTGGGACTCCCAATCAGGGACTCCCAATCAGGCCTTGACTGAGCCAGACCTGGCTGCCCACTCGTCCTTCTCTGCAGGTGACTTTCACCAAGCGGAAGTTCGGCCTGATGAAGAAGGCGTATGAGCTGAGCGTGTTGTGTGACTGCGAGATCGCACTCATCATCTTCAACCACTCCAACAAGCTGTTCCAGTACGCCAGCACCGACATGGACAAGGTGCTGCTCAAGTACACGGAGTACAATGAGCCGCATGAGAGCCGCACCAACGCAGACATCATCGAGGTGGGCCACACACACAGGCACCGGGACACCCCTGCCTGCATCCACATGGACATGCTGTGTGTACACACAGACCTGCCTGTGCACACACACCAGTATATGTGCCCCTGTAGCCCCTCACCTGTGTGCACACACATGCAAACCCTCCTCCTGTCACACAAACCCAGGGCCTGAGGAGGAAGGAAGGGCAGTTCAGGTGAACAGGCCAGTGCCAGGCTGCCAGCCCACACCCATTCTGCCCTCTCCGAGAGTCTGTTTTCTGTCGTCCGGCGTGATGTGACATCTCTGCCCTGCCTTCTTGCAACCTGGCTTTCTCTTTCTCTTTTCCCCCTTCTCCATCTTTTGGTGTGCTCCTGCACCTGCCTCTTCCTTTTTTAAATCTCCCTCTTTGTTTCCATCTCTCCTGCTGTCTCTGTCTGTTTGTGGGCCTGGCAGTTCTATTTTCTGTTTCAAAGAGAGCCAACATTGTGAACTGTTGAAGGACATAGGCCTTGGAATTCAGCTCTGACCTTTACTGGCCACATGGCCTTGGGCAGGTGCTTAGGCCTTCCCGAACCTTGGTGCCCACCTCCACAAAACGGGGCCAAGGCTGGCCTTGAAGGGTGCTGTGTGAATTGAATGTCGCTGCTTCTCACACTGAGGTGTGTGCCCCTTGGGGGTACACAACTTGTGCTGATGAAGAGGGTGCCCGGGAAGCCACAGCCCTACTCAGATTTGTAGGAAAGTCCCTTATTTTTATGTTAGAGAAGACAGATTTACTATAGACTAGAAGGTAAAATTTGCATTCATTTTAAAGACAAAGCGAGTATCTGTAGAGATATTTCGAGCATGAAGAGGGCAGCTTTGGGGTGTACTGCAGACCCCCCAGCTGTGCCTCCACCAGAGTATGGGGTGGTCCGTGTTCACCCCCTTTTCCTTTTCCACATCCCATTCCACGCGCTGTCTCCATCTCTGTTTGTCTCTCCCTCCTCTTCTAAGCAGAGCCCCCTACCTTCCTCCCCCTGGAGAACTCAGTGCCTTCTGGCCAGGGTTCACCGCAGGGCAGTCAGGCAGGGACTGGCCCAGGGCACCAGCCCCTTAGCCCATCCCCTGGAAACCCCCTCCCTGCCTGTCCCTTTGAAAGTACATGTCTCCCTGCCAAGTGCACCCCCAGGTTAGGCCCACCTTCCAGCCTTGTTCTCCATGTTCTGATGGCTCCCACCAAGCCCATCTTCCCACAGTGCCCCAGGAGGCACTGTCAGTGAGGAGGGGCAGGTGACATTGAGGGAGGGGCCAGGGAGATGCTGGGAACCCTGAGGAAGGAGGGCGGGGAAGAGTAGGGGGCCCTTAGGGAGGGGCCAGGAGGACTCTCACCCAGCTGATGGCAGTGGTGCGGTTACAGACCCTGAGGAAGAAGGGCTTCAACGGCTGCGACAGCCCAGAGCCCGACGGGGAGGACTCGCTGGAACAGAGCCCCCTGCTGGAGGACAAGTACCGGCGCGCCAGCGAGGAGCTGGACGGGCTCTTCCGGCGCTATGGGGTGAGCCCCACTCACTCTGTCTCTGTCGGCCCCCCCTTCCGGCCCCTTCCCCCCAGGCGCTGCACAAGAAGCACAGGGAATGTGAGAGCCCTGAGGTGGACGAGGTGTTTGCCCTGACCCCCCAGACGGAAGAGAAATATAAAAAGATAGACGAGGAGTTTGATAAAATGATGCAGAGTTATAGACTGGCCGTGAGTAGTCGCATGGAGCAGAGCCTCCCTGTGGTGCATGGTGTGGCTTTGCGCCCTGGCTCTCAGCTGCCCCCATGGGTGCTCCGCTCTGAGCCATGCTCGGGTTCCCAGTGACCACTAAGGAACCTCTCACCTTGGTCATGATAAACCTGCATCCCTTGCTGAGACTCGACTGGAATGGAGCATAAGTTGGAAAGGCCTGGAGTGTCCCCTCTGCAGCAAGAAGTGTGTAGATGACGAGATCCTTAGAGGACAGGAAAGTGGAGTGTGCTCTTTGTCCAAATGCTTTTTGGGGGAGAGGCCTGCCTGGGCCTCCTCTGATAGCCCAAGCAGAGACACTCAGCCTTGTGTAGGGAAAGCAGAACTGCTGGAGGGGAAGGCAGTGAGGTGGGGGTGAGCTCTCTCTGCAGCTGGCCGGATGGGTGAGAGACTGCAAGTGAAGTGATGTCCCGACCCATGGCGCAAGCCTTTAACAGCTGTGTGTGTGTGAATTTGGGTCTGTTCTCAGGACTTCTAACCTGCTCCCCGTGTGTCCTGCCTGGCTGAGGACTAACCCACCTCCACTAGGGGGTGTCCCTGGTCCTGTCTGCAGTGAGCAGAGCCCTGTTCTCATTCTCTGGGCCAGAAAAGGACCCACAGCTTTCCCTCAAAGTTATTCCTTGGTGGGAGTGGTGGGCAGGACTCTACAAGGGCACAGGGCAGGGAGCTTGAGCTGCTGGCCCCAGGATGTGTAGCCCAGAAATGAGAAGAACCCTGCCTGCCCTCCCAGGAAAAGTGGGCTCCATGGAAGGGGTCGACCTGGCCTGATCCTGTCCCTCCATCTTTCTGTCTAGTCAGCTGTCCCGGCCCCCAACTTTGCCATGCCTGTCACAGTGCCCGTGTCCAATCAGAGCTCACTGCAGTTCAGCAATCCCAGCGGCTCCCTGGTCACCCCTTCCCTGGTGACGTCATCCCTCACAGACCCGCGGCTCCTGTCACCCCAGCAGCCAGCACTACAGAGGAACAGTGTGTCTCCTGGCTTGCCCCAGCGGCCAGCTAGTGCAGGTGAGTTGGCTGGCAGGTGGGCAGGTGAGGTGGAAATGAGATGTGATGAGGTCTTTGGGGTTCCATTTTCAGTGGCGAGTATCTCTCTTCACCTACCACAGCATCCCCCCATTTGTGTGGCTCCTGAGGGAAGGGAATATGACTCTTCCTCCTCCTGGGGACCCCTCTTCATGTTCAGTCCCCAAGACTCACTCTCAAAAGGGGAGTGCTGTCAGCTCATCCTGGTTCTGTTTTTCCTCCAGGGGCCATGCTGGGGGGTGACCTGAACAGTGCTAATGGAGCCTGCCCCAGCCCTGTTGGTGAGTGCAGCCATCCTTCTACCTGGAGGTGGGGAAGGGTACCTGCTCAGTGGCCACAGGGGGTCCAAGGACCAGGAAGGAACCTAGATGAGAGGAAGATCCCAGGGCCAGAACTGGAGGAAGAGTCAGAAATTTTTAAGCCCCTGGATTTTGTTTTCTGTAGCAATGATTGGTGTGGATGATCGGCAGAGACGGAGGCTCAGAGAATTCTGAGTAAACCGTGAGAAAACGGGCCAGCATTTCTAGTTGGAGGGGAAGACCCAAGTTTTTTACAGTTGAGTTCAAGTATCTGGTTGGGATCTGAAGGATGAGAATGCCAGGCATTGCCTAGACAAACGATAGGGACAGACTCACATAGACACTCACACACACACGTGCATTCTCCCTCTTACAGAAGTATCCAGATGTTAGATGTGTGCATGTGAGCATGCATACATAAGCCACAGAAGCAGCTGGGCATGGTGGCTCATGCCTGTAATCCCAGCACTTTGGGAGGCTGAGGCAGGTGGATCACCTGAGACCGGGAGCTTGAGACTAGCCTGACCAACATGGAGAAACCCTGTCTCTTCTAAAAATACAAAATTAGCAAGGCATGGTGCGCATCCTAGCTACTTGGGAGGCCAAGGCAGGAGAATCGCTTGTATCCAGGAGGTGGAGGTTACAGTGAGCTGAGATCACAGCGTTACACTCCAGCCTGGGCAACAAGAGTGAAACTCCATCTCAAAAAAAAAGCCATAGAAGAAAGGCTGCCCCCCTCAGCCCTGGCAGCAACAGCCCCTCTTGCCCTGTACTGTTGTCCGGCTGGGTGACTGTGACTTCGAATGTCACGATTGACGTCACCCTGACATTCCTGCCATTCCCAGAGTGATCCGGGAATTGGGATGGAGGCTGGCACACACTTCCAGGGCAACAGCGTGCTCTTAGGGGACAGAGCAAGGAGGCATTTCTGACTGCAGTCCCCCTCACATCCTTGGACCTCAGCATCCCCCAGCCCCATTTGGGGGTGCTATATAATCCCTCCCTGGTCATAATTGGGTCATAAAGTCAGGAAATTAAAGGAGCGGTGAATATGTCTCCTTCTTCAAGGAGAGGGCCAGAGAAATGCTTGTAGACCTTAAGGGAGCAGTGATACAAAAAGTCCAGCATGTGGAAAGTGGCCGAGAGCCCTTGCTTAGCCTCCAGCCAGCTGTGTAGCCCTGGGCAAGTCATTACACTTCTCCAAAGAAGGCTCTAGTTTCCTCTTCTGTGAACAGGGCTAATGTCCTGTCTGTCTTGCAGAGTTAAAGTGTGGATTAAATAAGATAATACATGTGTGAAAGGCCTGTGTGAATTGTAGAGTATGGAGCAGATATAAAAGATAGTTATTACATTTGTTATTACCAGGCTCATTATGGTGGTGGCCCTGTTACCTGTCTCCCAGTGCCAATAATGCCATCACCAACAGTGAATGGCGTGTTTCCTCCAAGCTGTGGGCAGCTTGTCACATGTTGATCCAAATCACATCAACCACTGCTCACAGCACGTGGAGCAGTCCAAGCGGTTGTTGATTTGTCATGGTGACCAGGCTTCTCACTGAGGCCCAGAATCCAGGCTGCCACCCCTTCCACACCCGGGTCATGGTGGGTCCTGTCTGGGGCAGACTGTGGGATCTGAAAATGCTAGACTTCCTGCCTGTGGAGACCAAAGAACAGAGAGGACAGGGAGAGGCTTTGTCATCGCAGAGCCTAGAGGCAATGGTTGCTTTTCAGTTCTTCCCACTGACCTCAGAGTCCCATCACCAAGCCCCATTACATGTAGCTTGGAGTTAGGGGAACGAACCTAAAGATTCAGGAGTAAGGGGTACTCACCTCCCATTACTCCAAAGACATGAAGTATTTGGGGAACATCTGATAGCTCAGCCCCCACTCAAAGCCTTAAGCATGGCTTTGAGAGGTTCCAGGTGACAGGAGCATTGGTGTGGGGAAGTTAACAGGGCTGAAGGGTAGGCCCATGTTTTTCCTTTTACCCTTATGTTGTCACTTCTCCAGGGAATGGCTACGTCAGTGCCCGGGCTTCCCCTGGCCTCCTCCCTGTGGCCAATGGCAACAGCCTAAACAAGGTCATCCCTGCCAAGTCTCCACCCCCGCCCACCCACAGCACCCAGCTTGGAGCCCCCAGCCGCAAGCCCGACCTGCGAGTTATCACTTCCCAGGCAGGAAAGGGGTTAATGCATCACTTGGTAAGTGGGTGTCTGGGCCAAGGGCGGGGGCTGGGGAATGGAAGAGTAGGGACAGGGGAAAGAGCAGACCTCTAGCAGGAGAGATGAAGGCTAGCCAGCAGTTAGGACTTCCCAAGAGGGATCATGGAAGCATGGCTTTTTATGAGCTCGTTCTTCCCGGAGGGCCTTTTAAGAGGTTGCAACACAAGAAGTACCAGCCTAAGGCAGTAAAAAGGGACAGGAGGTAAGAAGGAAGGTTCTGTGATGGGGAGGATGATAGAAAGGATTTGTCACTTCAGCAGGAGGGATGGAGATTAGATGGTGAGCATTTCCCAACTGGTGGAGATTGGGATGGAGCAGCTCTGGAAATCAGTCAGGACAGTGAAGAGCTCTGCCTTTGTAGGCTGGGTGGAGCCATCCCACTCTTATGAAGAGAGGTGGATGGAACGGCTGTGGGGACAGAGGTGTGGGGTGGGGCAGAGGCCAGAGACTGAACATCCCCTTGGTTTTATTTCTGCTCTCAGACTGAGGACCATTTAGATCTGGTAAGTGAGGCTATGAGCTGTTTTGCTGTGGCTTTGAATTCTGGGTATTGCTCTGTAGTCCCCGAGCATGAAGTACATGTGCGTCCTTGGCCTCTCGCCTGTCCGTGGACTGTTGCTGTTTCTTTGCTTAGTTGCCAGGAGCTGTGCTTAGTGCCAAGTGGGATTCAGAGGTGTAGGGGGCGGGGGTGAGAGGTCAGACATGCGTGTGTGTGCCTGTGTGTACATGAATGTCTGCATGTGGTATTACGTTCATTCAGACACACCTCCTTCTGTGTGTATGTATGTGTGCGAGGGGGAGTGGGCCAGCCCCAGGGCTCAGAGGTCCCACCCAGATACCTAGACTAGGCCCTGGACAGGGGGACTGGATCCCATAGTCCTCTGACTCCACTCAGGCTCACATTGCATTCTTGGGATCCAGGACAGGATCCGCCTTAGGAGGGAGGCCAGCTGGATGGTGAAGTCGGTGTTTCAGGGGAAGCCAAAGCCCAGGCCCAGGCTGGACTTGTCCTTCTTGGTGGGGCTTCCCACCTCCCTCGTGTCCCCGTGCTCCCTCCTGCACTTAGCCCATGGCATGGGCACTCAGAGGCAGTCACAGCTGCTCATTTTCCTCCTCGCTCTCACACACTTACATACTCACCCCCAGCCAGGAGTGGGGCGGGGGCTCCTCCCTCCCCAACTCCCTGACGGGAGGCCAGAGAGGCTGGAAAAGGCAGGCAGGCTTTGGCGGCCAACACGGCGGCAGTTTCGGCCCCAGCGTGGAGTTGGAATAAACAAGTGACTCAGCGGCAGATGGAGCTGACAGCCCCACACACGTGTGTGCATACGCGCAGGCACACGCCACGCCAGGCCCCACATTCCCCTTGCAGATGCCAGCACGCCTCTGCCGGGGCGTGTGCAGCAGTGTGAAGGATGGAGAGTGGGCTCCTGAGGGACGGATGGACGATGTCTCCCTTCCCTCACTCTGCACTGGGAGGCTGGGCGAATGTTGGGGCTGAGGCCACAGGGCCGGCACACGTGCTTTCATCTTTGCACGTGTGTTGGTGTCAGTGAATCTGTGTGTGCATGTTTCTCTCCATGGATCTGAGTGTCTCTGTGAATGCACCAACGTGTGTTTGTGTGTCTGGGGGGGGCCTCCGTGCTAAGGCACCCCACCTTGGCTTTTGGATTCAGGGACCTCACCTTGGGCTTGGGATGGAGGGCCAGCATAAGACTGCCCACCCATCAGCCACCTCCTGACAGACAGTTTTCTCCTGCAGAACAATGCCCAGCGCCTTGGGGTCTCCCAGTCTACCCATTCGCTCACCACCCCAGTGGTTTCTGTGGCAACGCCGAGTTTACTCAGCCAGGGCCTCCCCTTCTCTTCCATGCCCACTGCCTACAACACAGGTGAGTGTTCATGTGACATGTGCATGTGTGCACTTGGGCTTGGGGCTGGCAAGTGACCAGACAGAAATGCTCTATATCCCCTGGACAGGCCCCATCTGAGGAGGGCCATTGATTTGGGGGAGCCCTCACCTGATTATGGTAAACAGATTTAGCAAATAAAAGCACAGAATGCCTTTAAATTTAAGTTTCAGATAAAACAAGTAGTTTTTTAGTACAAATATGTCCCAAAGGCATTCTTCTGCTAATGTATGTCCCAATGACATATTTAATTTGGAGGGGTTTGTTTTTTTGTTTTGAGACAGGGTTTCACACTGTCACTCAGACTGGAGTGCAGTGGTGCCATCATAGCTCACTACAGCCTTGAACTCCTGGACTTAAGTGATCCTCCTGCCTCAGCCTCCTGAGTAGTTGGGAGTACAGGCACATGCCCCCATACCTGGCTTTATTTTAAATTTTTTTGTACAGACAGGGTGTCTCTGTGTTGTCTAGGCTAATCTCAAATTCCCGGTTTGAAGCAGTCCTCCTGCCTCACTCTCCCAAAGTGCTGTGTTACCAACTGCCCAGAACCAAAGATATACTTGTGCTAACAAATTATGTTTTGTTTCATCTGAAATTCAAATTTAACTAGGCATTGTGGGGGTTCTTTGTTTTTGTTTTTTTTTTAGCGTCTCGCCCTGTCACCCAGGCTGGATTGCAGTGCTGAGACCTTGGCTCACTGGGTTCAAGTGATTCTCCTGCCTCAGCCTCCTGAATAGCTGGGATTATAGGCACATGCCACCATGCCCAGCTAATTTTTGTATTTTTAGTAGAGACAGGGTTTCGCCATGTGGTCTGGGCTGGTCTCAAACTCCTGAGCTCAGGTGATCCACCAGAGTGCTGGGATTACAGGCATAAGCCACCATGCCTGGCCAGCATTATTTATTTTTAAAATAGTACCTAATGGAGAAGGGACCCCCTGTCTTCAGGGAGCCTCCAGCCTGAGGAGAAGACAAGACAGGGGCAGGTGAGCAGGTGCTTCGGCCTGACCAGTCTCTAGGCTCCAGGTCTGGGGAGTGGTGAGGGGAACGTGGTCAGTTCAGAAAGGCTCCCTGGAAGAGAATGAAGGAATGAGGGAGAGAAAACAGGGAGGCTGAGGAGGCCAGAGAGAAAGCACAGTCAGGGTCAGTTTGCCAGCTTCCTGGGAAAGCCAAATGGGGGTTCCAGGGCAAGGCAGAGGGGGAGGAAGACGGTCTCTCCTCTAATTTTGGCATGGTGGTAGAATGATGAGGGAGCGAGGAAGGAGGAAGACGGGGGAAGGTTGGAGAGTGGGATCTGAAGGTAAAGAGTCACTTGAGGACATGAGAAAGGCGTCTGGACACAAGAATTCAGATAGGACACCCAGTGCCTGGGCTGTCCTGAGTCCCCAGGACCATCCTGGCCTGTGTCATGTACTCACACCTGCCCAGAAACAGTCTGTGACACTAGCCATCCTTGCCTGTACTCTAAGCCACCGTGTTAGGAAGGAGTTGCCAAGGAGGAAACACCTTGTCCCCTTGTTCCAGAGCATTCATGTGGCTGGAGAGCCTGGGCCGTTTCCAGATAGAGACCTCTGCCTTCCCCAGGCTCTCTCACATGTGAATGGTTTTGTCCGGCCAATTCCTATGAATAGTTTAGTCTGGACCAAAAGACCCATAAACCTCTCCCCCCTTCCCCAAGCCTCCTAGAGTTGAACCATGCTAGGTACCAGACACCAGTGCAAATACCCACCAAATCCCACCTCCTCCCCGTGTGTAAAAATCCAGAACCCAGCCCTCTGCATAGCAAAGCCCCTCATGGCTGGTAAGACAGCTGGAAGGACTGCCTTTTGTTGAGGAACCAGACTCCGGCTTATGTGTCTGTGTGTAGTTACCACCCAGGTGTCTGTGCATCCCTTCTCCCTTGCATGTGCACCCATGTGTGTGCCCAGCCCCAGGCTACTATGTCCTGGCAGCTTCAGAGACGGCTGCTTCAGAAGACACACCCTGTGGGCTCGTCTCCCCATCTGTAAGAGGAGTGGGTAGACAGGAGGACTTTGAGGCTTTTCCAGCCCTGCCACTGGGGCTCTGGGGTCCAACCAGAAAAACCAGCCCTGAGGGTGGGGTGGCCTGGACAGGGACAGTTGGTGGAGAGCAGCTCAGACCACTTTTAGACCACTTTTCTGGAGCTGTTTATTATGGGGTGGGGGTTTCTGTTTTTCTGCTGTCTTCTTGGGCCCACAGTCTTTGTGAAGCAGGAGAAAAGTTAGCTGGTGTCAGCCAACCTGGGACAGGCACTCAGGAAGGTTAGACTTAAAGATTCTCATCTGTCACTTTGGCATGAATGCAGTTTCCACCCCTAGGCCGCCCTTGGAGTCCTGCTGGGAAGTGTCTGAGGCTTCTTATAAACTTTCAGAGAGCAAAGGCTCCCTCTCCTTTTGCTGCGGGAGCAGCTAAGCAGATCTCAGTTTAAACACCAGGTGTTTTCAGGTGATCCTAGGTGTATAAACAAAACCCCAGTGAACACATTGCTGTTTAGTTGTTCACTGTTTACAGTCCTTGGCTGCAGTTCAAGTTCCGGCTGGAGGTAATCGGACTATGGTAATGCCTCGTGTAAGGGCCTGGCCTCTTGTTGACACCGGCTGCATAGGTCTGGCTCTGGTGGCTCTGGGAGCAGACCAGGAGGCTGCCAGGTGGCCTGGGGGCCATGTTCCTCCTGGTCCTGGGAGCCAAGCCTCCCAGTAGATAGGGCTGGAATCTGGTGGGACAGTGCAGGGCTGGGCGTCAGTCTCCACCACTCACTCACTGAGGGACTTTAGGCAAGGCACTGCACTGCTCTGGGCCTGGCTTCCCAGTCTGTAAAACAAGTGTTAGAAATAGTTGACTCTCTTACTGGATGGCAAGTCTTGAGTGTAAAAAAAAAGAGACAGAAAAAAAAAAAGTTGACTGTAGGGCTCGTTTCTGCCCTTGCTTGCTTTTTAAATATAAGCATTTCAAAAGTCCTGGCCCACGTGAGGATACTAGAACCAAGCACAGACTCCTCTAAAGTGTGATTTAAAGGGAATGGAGTCCTGGGGTCCTGTCTTAGCTCTGCCAGTGGCTTTCTCCGCTCTCCGTGACCTGGAGCCGGTTCCTCAAACCTGAGGCTGCCATTGCCTCATTTGTAAAGTAGTAATAGATAAATTTTTGGATTATTTTTCTGTGAACCAGACACTGTTCTACATGCTTTCTGTGTATGAACTTGCTGAGTCCTCACAACAGCTGTTTTGTAGGTAGGATTATTACCTCCAGTTTATAGGCAAAGTCAGTAACTTGCCCAAGGTCACACAGCCTAAGTGGAGGTAGCCCGGAAGTTTGACCTCATCGCTCGCACCTTTAACCTTATTGCTGTATTGCAGAGAGAATGCCATCTTCCCTGAATAAAAACAGTACCAGAGCAAATGACTCCCTGAGTAATAGCATAGTGGTGGGGTGTTGGGATGGCTGAAGGATGCATTCCCATCACAGCACTCCCACTACCACAGTGCAGCCTCAGGGAGAACATTTTCTTTCTTTCTTTCTTTCTTTCTTTCTTTCTTTCTTTCTTTCTTTCTTTCTTTCTTTCTTTCTTTCTTTTAAGCAGAGTCTCACTCTGTTGCCCAGGCTGGAGTACAGTGATGCGATCTCTGCTCACTGCAGCCTCCACCTCCCAGGTTCAAGTGATTCTCCTGCTTCAGCCTCCCAAGTAGCTGGGATTACAGGTGCGTGCCACCACACCTAGCTAATTTTTTGTATTTTTAATAGAGACAGGGTTTCACCATATTGGCCAAGCTGGTCTTGAATTAGGGAGAACATTTTCTAAACCATCCCAAATAGGATACAGCATGAAACATAACAGTGCTGTGTAAATCGTGAAACATTCCATGATCCTATTTACTCTGTGACAGTGCAAACGTCAGTTTGTTCTTTCAGGTAGACATTGTATGAATTAATGAGTGCCCCCTCATTGGGAGACCTGCTAGAACCTTGGCCAGCTGTGCTCCCAGCTGTATGTGCCCTTGCAGCCCCTCTACCCCATGTGCATGAGGCCTCAGGGGCTAACTTGTGTTCCTCTGTGGTTTTTTTTTTTTTCATCGCTGTTGCCCAGGCTGGAGTGCAGTGGTACGATCTTGGCTCACTGCAACCTCAAGCAGTTCTCCTGCCTCAGCCTCCTGAGTAGCTGGGACTACAGGCGCATGCCACCATGCCCGGCTAATTTTTTTTGTATTTTTAGTAGAGATGGGGTTTCACCACGTTGGCCAGGCTGGTCTCGAACTCCTGACCTCGTGATTTGCCCACCTCAGCCTCCCAAAGTGCTGGATTACAGGCGTGAGCCACTGCACCCAGCCTGTGTTCTCTGTGTTTATGTGTGTGGGCACAGCAGCTCAAACCCTGCTGCTATAAATTTTAGGTACTGACAGTCAAGGAGGCTTGGGGGCTGTGCCATAGGTGGAATGGTAGTTGCAGTGATTTGCCTCTGAAGCCCTATCCGCCAGGCTTTTACCAGGGCTCCCCACTACCTTAGAAAGGCAATTGGAAGGCAGAGGGTGGTGGCTCACACCTGTAATCCCAGCACTTTGGGAGGCCAAGGTGGGTAGATCACCTGAGGTTGGGAGTTTGAGACCAGCTGACCAACATGGAAAAACCCTGTCTCTACTAAAAAAATAAAATTTAGTCAGGCATGGTGGTGCATGCCTGTAATCCTAGCTACTCGGGAGGCAGAGACATGAGAATTGCTTGAACCTGGGAGGCAGAGGTTGTAGTGAGTCAAGATCATGCCACTGCACTCCAGCCTGGGCAACAGAGTGAGAATCATTCTCAAAAAACAAAACAAAAACCACGTCTTTTCATCCTGTTAAAAAAAACAGCACAAGCCGGGCGCAGTGGCTCACGCCTGTAATCCCAGCACTTTGGGAGGCCGAGGCGGGTGGATCACGAAGGTCAAGAGATCGAGACCATCCTGGTCAACATGGTGAAACCCTGTCTCTACTAAAAATACAAAACATTAGCTGGGCATGGTGGCGCGTGCCTGTAATCCCAGCTACTCAGGAGGCTGAGGCAGGAGAATTGCCTGAACCCAGGAGGCGGAGGTTGTGGTGAGCCGAGGTCGCACCATTGCACTCCAGCCTGGGTAACAAGAGCGAAACTCCGTCTCAAAAAAAAAAAAAAAACAGCACCTCATGGTTATTATGACTTAGGTTTCTTCAACTCTGAGTACCATCGTCACTGAATTTTTATGGTCTTCTTGAATTCTTTACATCTGTCATTACATACTCCCTGTCCCCTCATCCCCACAGTCCTCCTGGAGGCAGCTCCCTCACAGGAGCCTGTGTGCTCTCCCCAACTCCAGGTTCATCCTCACTTTTCCTCCATGCAGATTACCAGTTGACCAGTGCAGAGCTCTCCTCCTTACCAGCCTTCAGTTCGCCTGGGGGGCTGTCGCTAGGCAATGTCACCGCCTGGCAGCAGCCACAACAGCCCCAGCAGCCGCAGCAGCCACAGCCTCCACAGCAGCAGCCACCGCAGCCACAGCAGCCACAGCCACAGCAGCCTCAGCAGCCGCAGCAGCCACCTCAGCCACAGTCCCACCTGGTCCCTGTATCTCTCAGCAACCTCATGTGAGTCCTGGGGAGACTCCATGTGAATGTGTGGGAAGGGAGAATTGAGGAGCGGAAAGAGGAGGGGCCTCTGGGGAGCTGGGTTCCCTGCAGGGTTCTAGCGGACATCCTGTGAGGATGTGCACCGCACAGTCTGTTAGGCAATAGTGACAGCGCTGGGGTCTCTTGGACATGCCAAGGAGGCTCACCCTGAGCCCCTTCCATGAGCTAGCCCCAGGGTAGAGGGTGGGAGGTGGGGGGGGGGCCTGGGTTGCAGAAGATGACACAGGATGGAAAGAGAACTAATATTTCTTATTTCCCTTCTCTTCCCTTCATTCAACCCTCTTCTGATCTCTCTCCATCCAATTGCCTCTCCCCCACACCCCATCCCCCATATTCCTATCCTCTGTTCTCTCTCACTTTCTGTCTGGTGTCCTTCTGTCGCTCGTTCTGTCACTCACTCCGTCTGTTTCTATCCCTTGTACCCCATTTCCACTGCTTGCCTCCAGCCCGGGCAGCCCCCTGCCCCACGTGGGTGCTGCTCTCACAGTCACCACCCACCCCCACATCAGCATCAAGTCAGAACCGGTGTCCCCAAGCCGTGAGCGCAGCCCTGCGCCTCCCCCTCCAGCTGTGTTCCCAGCTGCCCGCCCTGAGCCTGGCGATGGTCTCAGCAGCCCAGCCGGGGGATCCTATGAGACGGGGGACCGGGATGACGGACGGGGGGACTTCGGGCCCACACTGGGCCTGCTGCGCCCAGCCGCAGAGCCTGAGGCTGAGGGCTCAGCTGTGAAGAGGATGCGGCTCGATACCTGGGTACTGTAGCATCACCTCTCCTGTCTGCCAGTGTCTGCTACACCCAGGGACTGCCCCGCGTGCCCCCAACCTGTTTTGTTTCCCACCCAAGAGGCCTTGTGGCCGGCTAGCCCTTCGCCAGTCCTTCTAGGGCAGCACCAACACCCCTTCACCCCTGCCAAAGGCCCGTCTTCTCCCTCCCTCCAGCATCAGTCCTGCTCGATGACTTCCCCTCCCCCACAGCTGGCCCTGCCACTAGAATCCCGGCCCTATGGGGAAAGGGGAGTGGGGGGTGCACACCCGTAGCCTGGGCCACTCCCTCACACCCCCTTCTCCATCTCCTCTCTTCACAGACATTAAAGTGACGGTTCCCACTCCCCTCCTCTCAGCCTCCCTGATGAAGAGTTGACAATCTCACCGCCCGCCCTTCCCTGCCCCGGGCTCCTCCCGCTCGACCCCCACCTCCTTTCTTGTGCTCCATGTCCTGTTGACGGTTACATTTGTGTATAATTATTATTATTATATTATTATTATTATATTTTTTTTAATTTGGATTCTCGCTTTGGAGAGGGGGATGCTCTCATCCCCTCTTTCTGTCCCCCCCACCATTTTCACTGGCTGGGGGGCTCTGTTTTTCGCGGGAAGGGGGGACACTTTGCACGTTGTACACATATGCTGCAGGAAGGGGGTGCGGGGCCCGATAGGCCTTGGGGAAAGGACAGGTGCCGAGCCCTGCATGTGGAGCCCTCCCACCCCATCCCCCAGATAGAGGGAAATAACCAAAAAACTACCAAACAACAAAAGAAACCCACACTATAGACTGAAACCCCAAAGTGGGCTTGACGGGTGGGTTTGTGTCTCAAGGGGAAAGTGAGGCAGAGGTTCTGAAAAGGGTCTCTGTTTCTGGGTTCATGTGGCCATAGGCACATGGAGCAGAATACTGAAGCCTGGCCCCCAAATGCCCTGCACACACGTGCCACACCTGTGCTGATTCTTGTGTGTGCTGCACCCCCAAGGTGTGTGGGTGCTGGCTGAGCTTTGGGCTGGGAAGGCAGCCTGGGGAATCTGAGGCTGGGGATGGGTTTGAGGTGAGGGCCTCTCTGGAAGCACATTTGGAGAGAAAGACAGAGCCATGAGGAGAGGGCTGTGGAGGGCAGAAGGGCTAGGCAGGGGGCAAATCGGGCCCCTCCCTTCCCCAGCTTTTCTCTAAGATATACAGTGCAATAGCTCCCCGCCCCTCGGTTGATGCCAGCCTTGTAAAGCTGGCCACAATGTGCAGGGAGAACCGGGAGAGGGTCTTCAGTGAGGTGGCTCGGGGCGAGAGTCGGCCTGGACCTCCCTGGGGTGATCCAGGCCAGAGCTCTTTCATCGGGGCAGGTGTGGTGAGGGGATGTCCTTGGCCTTGCACGCACACTACCTGGGGGAGTGGACACTGCGATGGTCTGTGGGGTGGGAGGTCTGTAGAGGGCCCACCTCCCTCATTCCGCCTCACCCCCTCTCCCTGGCTTCTCCTGTTAGCTCCTTCTGCTCCTGACCCCACCTCCTTGCTCTTGGTGCCCCCATTGTCTCTCGCTACCTCCTTGTCCCACCACCTCTAGGCCGCATCCCACCTTCCCTCTTGGCTACTGTAATTGTAAATAGCGACCTTTGGAAAATGTTAGCGGTGTAACAGTCCAGGAAACTGTTTTTTGTTGTTGTTGTTGTATTGATATGAAATGAGATTCTATTTTTGTCAAAGTATATTGTAATAATAATGACTCAAACGGCCCGTACTGTACAGACGAGATTCTTCTGCTGTTGTTCTTGCTCCCCTCCCCTCCTCTGAGTCCGCCCCTCTCTGCTGCCTCCTCAGCGGGGCAGTGGGCAAGGGGCCCAGGGGGCAGCCGAAGCACGGAGTCCTGAGACCTCAGGCAGGATCGTTGATTAAACCGGAGGGGGCAGGCCCCCAGCCTGCTCTCTAGGACCACCCCCCGCCCTAAGGGGCCTGGCCTGGGGTGACGTGGGCAGACAGACTGCACCACTCCTTCACACAAGCCCAGCTCCTCTGCCCAAGGGGTGCGGTGCTCCCTTGGGGTTTCCTTCCAGTTGGAGAGTAGAGTTAGACAAGGCCCAGTTTTGTTAGCCGACCATCTTTGCCCACCTCTATGACCCAGCCTCTTGCAGTATTTCCATACTTGATGCAGGGAAGGAACCAGAGCAGAGGGGCCTGTGAGCACACATGTACCTGTGCTCATGAGGGCATCTGGTATTTATGTGTCTGAGTGTAGCTTTGTATTTATGTGTGTGTGCGTGCGTGTGTCTGGTTGCATGGGTGTACCTTTGTATTTATGTATGTGTCTGGTTGCACGGGCGTGCCTCTGTGTGTCTCTGAGCCTGGCTGGGCGTGTGTGCGAGACTATGTGACTGGAGCTCTTGGGGTATCTCTGCGTCCGTGTGTGGCTGGTGTGTGTTTACAAAGGGACGGTTGGCTGTTCCAGCTCCACACCCCTGGCTTCAGCTCTCTGACCCCCACTCCCGTCTTCCCTGGTCCTTTCCTCGCGCTCACCCTCAGCTCTGACGCATTGAACTGCAGTTGGGGGAATTGGCAGTTGGCCCTCTGTGCTTCTCCCTGCAGCCCTACCTCTGCCAGGGCCTCTCCCTCCAGGGACTTCTGCTTCCACCCACAGTTGTCCACTTAGTCGCCCACACGTGACACACAGTTCCTGGAGTACCCTCTTCCCCTAACCCCAGACCTGCTCTCAGAGTGAAACTCAAGTCCCTTTTCCTCCCTCAGCTGAGCAGTGATCCGTTCTTACTCACTCTTAACCCCAACCCGCTGACAGGGTGGGGACAGCACATCCAGCCTTCCCACCTCTCCTGCTGGCTTCTAGAGGGAGTTTCAAGAACTGGCAAACCTTGATCCAGGCCTTGACAGAAGCCAGGGTGTAATCTTGTTCATTCATGCATCCCCAGAGCCTCGCCCAGTGCCTGGCACATAGTAGGCGCTCAATAAATGCTGAATGGGTGAATGGTTGAATGATAGGTGCTCAGTAAATGAATGACTGGCCTTCCCTTCTCAGGCTGTTCCCACCATTAGTCTGCCCACCTTTCTAGGCTGGGCTTGGCCACCATTAAACACAGGGCCCCTGCAGTTCACGGTGCAATATTCACCAGTTTTGCCCTCTGCCTCATAAAGGCAAACCTGGCTTTTGATTACCATGTGTGGATGTTTCTGTGTCCTTTCTTCTCTGTCCCTGGGGACGGGGTGGTCTGTGAATATGTGACATTTCTGCAGTTCAGTATCCGAAGGTTTCTTTAGGGGTAGGGGCTCCTGGGCGGCCAGATGACTGGGTCCCTGGGAAGCCAGACCTCAGATGGGGACTTAATGTCTTCTTCCTCTCAAGCCAAATTCGCCTCCACCCACTCACTCCCTTTGAAAAACTGGGCATTTGCCAAAGTAACCACTGGAGTCATCTAATGGCCCTCCCCTCCCCAGGTTTCCCACAGCTTTCAGGGACAGTGGGCAAGAGGACCCCCCCCCACCACCACCACCACCTCAATGGAACACACCATCCTACCCCTCAACAGCACACTCAGTGCAGCGAGACTGACCCCTGACCCCTGACCCCTTCCCAGCCCTCCCCATCTTGGACAGGAAGGAAGTAATGCACCTTCTCTTGCTGATTATTTATTTGTTTGGAGAGACAGAAATGTAAAAGTGTATCTAGAAATATCTATATCTATATATTTTTAACTGACTCTTTGGAATCCCTTGGGGTGGGGTGAGGGGTAAGTTTAGGCTTTCTTGGGAGGGGAAAGACAGGGAGCCTGGGAACTCCGTGTTCTCCCCTCTGCTGCCTCTCCCCACCCCTTAAAGCGGTTGGTAGAAGGAATGGCATTTGTATGGGGGGAGGGAGGCTGCAATGGAGAATCTGGATTCTCTCCTCTTCCCCATTCAAGTCCCAGAGGGAGGGAGGGGGTGAGAAAGAGGAAGGGAGGGGCAGGACGGGCCATGGAGGTGCCCCACCCCCACACCTGACAATCACCCACACTCCTGGGGCTCTTCCTGGGTCCTGGGGCAGGGCGAGTCCAAGTGTGAGGCTGTTGATTTGTTTTCAATATTTCTTTTCGTGCTGTATGGTGATGCTTTCTTAGTATTCTACACAATAAGAAAAGACAAAGTCCTCGAGATTCTTATGAGTTTTGTTTGAAAACTCTTTCACTATATTTGTTGTAAAGAGGTTTACTATTAAAAGAAAAAGAATACACGTTTCTGATACTTCGGCGTGGGTTTTGGTTTCTTTGGTGCGGCTAGGACGGGAAGGAAGGACTGGTGTGGCCCCGTCAGGGTGAGAGGCAGCACTTCACCTCAGCAGGGAAGAATCGGGGGTGGCCTGCAGGGCAGGGCACTTCCACATGTCTCAGGTGGGGTTTTCAGGTGAGAATTTCTTCTAAGTGTTCTGTCAGAAGGAGGCAGCCCCAGCCCCGCACTACGGAGGGGTTGCCCAGCTAGAAGCCTCAGGAGGGATTCTGGGACACAGAACCAGAACCACCACCCAAGGTTGGGTTGGAAACAGAATGGTGTTGGGTGTGGGACTGTGGCACTGTGAGGACCTTTGCGGAAAGCCTTCCTCTGCAGAGACTTGCCTGGGCACCGTGTTATGCACAGGTGGATTCCACCCTCATGGTCCTCACAGTATGGTTCCCTACAGCAGGGGACGCCACTCTTGCCCTTTCAAAGTGCTTTAACAGTGCCAAGGAGCCTCTCTCTCCCCTCCTCACACACCCCAAAGGACCACGTGACCCCACCATGCCCTCCAGCCAGGGTGGGCTGCCCTTAAACTTGCCTCCTTGACTGGGCACGGTGGCTCATACCTGTAATCCCAGCATTTGCAGATCACCTGAGATCAGGAGTTCGAGATCAGCTTAGCCAACATGGTGAAACCTGTCTCTACTAAAAATACACAAATTAGCTGGGCATGGTGATGGGCACCTGTAATCCCAGCTACTTGGGAGGCTAGGGCAGGAGAATCACTTGAACCCAGGAGGCAGAAGTTGCAGTGAGCTGAGATCTCGCCATTGCACTCCAGTCTGTGCAACAGAGCGAGACTAGACTCCGTCTCGAAAAGAAATAAAAAACCTGCCCTCATACTCAGCACAGTAGTGCCCTGGGGCAGATGCAGCGGCTGTGGAGGAAAGCAGATCCGGCTTGGCTCCCTTTGAAGAGGGTGTGGCTGCTCTTCTCTACCTAGCCCAGGTGCTGCAGAGGCGAATGTGGAGTTCGAGGGGCCATATACAAATGGCAGAGACAGGCCTACAAATGCCTAAAACCTGGGAGGCATGGGTAAGGCTGTGGGTGCTGCACATGTAGCCTGTTATGGGAGCACATAGGAGTAAGGCTTCATCCCTTGCGTTTCTGCAAAATGCAGATGACCATCTGTACTGGTCCTGCTTCCTTCATAAGGTCATTGCAGTCTCTGCCCCTCACTTCTCCTTCAATAGGGGCAGAGAGGAACGATGAGCTGAGCAGGAGGGGCTTAAGAGGATACCACCCTCCAGATAAGGCTCCTTGTTGGTTGCCTGTTCTCCTGTAGCAGCTTCCAAGATGACCTCCAATTATCCCTGCCTGGTATTCATGCCCTTGTGTGGTCCCCTTCCCCAGTGAATCATGGTTGGTATGTATGTGCAATTAAAAAAGACAGAGTGGCTGGGTGCAGTGGCTCATGCCTATAATCCCACCACTTTGGGAGGCCAAGGAAGGTGGATCACCTGAAGTCAGGAGTTTGAGACTAGCCTGGCCAACATAGTGAAATCCCATCTCTACTAAAGATTAAAAAATTAGCCAGGCGTGGGACACATGCCTGTATTCCCAACTACTCATAAGGCTAAGGCAGGAAAATCGCTTGAACCTGGGAGGTGGAGGTTGTGCAGTGAGCTGAGATCACACCACTGCACTCCAGCCTAGGTGACAGAGTGAGACTGTCTCAAAAAAAATAAGAGAGAGTGATGGCATGTGACTTCCAAGGATAAGTCATGGCTTCTACTCTCTCCCCTCTTCCCCTCTCTATTTGCCAGATGCCATTCTGTGGGACACTTAAGTAGCCCTATGGAAAGGCCCACATGGCAAAGAAGCGAAGCCTTTTGCCAATCACCATCTGAGTGAGGTCACCCTCTCCTCCATCATAGTTCCCCAAATTCTGCAGACGTTGCTACAGGTGAGAGCCCACTGGTAGTGTTGACTCTAGCTCACCCCCAGCCATGAAGAGAGGACCTTTCTCTATGGTGACCAGAACAGCCCTGATTCTAACACCCAAATCCCGAGCAAAACCACTCTCTTCTGCACATCTGCTGTCGGTTCCTCAAGACTGGCCTGTGCCTCCTTCCTTGTAGGCATTAGTATTTCCCACAAATACTTCCTGTTCTCTTCCCTTCCTGGACACACAAAAGGCTATGCATCCCAGTCCCTGTATAGTCAAGTGGGGTCACTGGACTAGTCATTATAAGTCAGCAGCCTATAATGGGAAGTAATGTGTGTCCCTTCTGAAATGCAGCCAGTGCCTGATTCTCCAAACATTCTTTCCCTGTTGTGGGAATTGCAGAAGCACATGTTGAGGAGGAGTGCTAGCAGATCAAAGCAGCCCGGATTGGTAAGCTGCCCTAAGGTTTTATCCAGCACCAGAGTGGACTCTGTGTGAATAGACAATAACTGTTATTTTGTTAAACTACAGCGATTTTGAGCACTGTGTTTGCAGTATAACCTATCCTGACTGATACAGGATTCCTCTCACACTTGGACAACCTTGAAGCCTTATCTACTGTAAACTCCTTATTGGTGTGGTACAAGGATCTCTGAACTTGCCATAGTCCAGAAGTAACTGGTTCAACTTCTCGTTCTGCCACTTACCAGCTGTGTGGTTTGGGTAGTCACATTCTCCTTAAGCTTGTTTCTGTAAAACAGAGCTAATAGCTGCCTGTTTTCTCTTATCCCCCACCTTCCCCTTCTCCAACGCATCCTCCCCATCTCTGGCCCAGCTCTGATCATCTAACACCTCATGGTTCTCCACTACCCACCATCTAAAGTGCTAACTCCTTGGCCTGTGTCCCAAGGCCTTCAAAGAGCCAGCACAACCTTTTTTCCAAGCTTAGTCCATATGGCTCCCTGTGCATCCCGTGGAGTCTAGGCAGACCAGACAGCCCCATCCATTCCCAGACAGATCCTCTGTGGTATGGCTCGTGCCATAATCTGTCTGAAATGCAACAAACATTTATCAAGCACCTATACTGTGAAACCTTGTTAGGCACTGGGGACATACGAATGAGATAGCTCCTACCTCCAGGCAACACAGTCTGATGGCGACAAGAGACTGAACCAACAGTCTACGCTTGAATCTGTGTTTAATGTCACGTAGAAAGAATGTAAGTGGGGTTCTGGGATCAGAGACGTGGCATACCCAAATGCAAACTAATGGAAATGAGAGGAGGCTCCTTGGAGGAAGAGCTTAAGCTGGATTTTGAAGACATATAGGAGTCGCCTGGGCAAATGAGGGTAAGGAAGATATTCTTTATAACAGGAATAGCACATAAGGTATCGAGAGACTAGGGTGGCTGCAGGAAATCAAATACTGTGGTGCAGGTCAAAGGAACAGCACACAGAACCAAAGAGGTAGGCAGGGGACCCCAATAGGAAAGGCCTTGATTGCCAAGACTTCGATTTTATTCTGCAGAAGATATTTGGTCATCAAAACATTTTAAATAGAGGAAGGACTTGGCCACATTTGCATTTCAGAAAGCTCCTGCCAGTAAAAGTTCCCCTCTGACAGTACACTGAAAATCAGTTGGAAAGGAATGCTGCATTGGAGGCAAGTGGCCTGTCAGGAACCTCTACAAGTAGAAATAGAGCCTACACCCAAGGAAGGCATAGACAGAAGGATGGAGAAGAAATGAGTTTCGTAGATACTGAAGAGAATACTTACTGCTACTAGTCGAAGACATGAAAATAGATACTTGATCTGGGTGAGAAGAGGTCTAGCAAAAAACTGCTCTACATGCCTATTTATCTGCAACCCTTCCTATCTTTTACTCCTACAATTTTCCCATCCTTAAATTTTTCCTGATTTCTCTCCCTCCCCTGGTCCTGCCCAGCTGGCTGTGGTAGCCTCCAATGAAGTGTCTTAGGAATCTGCCCCTTCTTTATAGCACCTACCCAATTTTACCTGGAAATTTAGGTACCACTTTCTGTTTTCTCTTTACAACCAGACTGAAGCTCCCAATGGCTCACACCTGTAATCCGAGCACTTTGGGAGGCTGAGGCAGGTGGATCACCTGAGATCAGGAGTTCAAGACCAGCCTGGCCAACATAGTGAAACCCTACTCAAGAGGCTAAGGCAGGAGAATTGCTTGAATCCAGGAGGCGGAGGTTGTAGTAAGCCAAGATTGCACCACTGCACTCTACCCTGGGTGGCAGAGCAAGGCTCTGCCTCTCGAAAAAAAAAAAAAAAAATAGAAAAAATGCACTGTTCTGCCCATGTTTGTGTCTGGCTCCATGCCTGGCACACAGTATGTATTCAGTGGGGCTAAAATGAGATAATGCATGTCAAAGTGCACTCAGTAAACTGTGGAGTGCTACAAACCCTATAGATTTTTAAAAATAATACTCAAGAGCTCCTTACTGTTTCCTCCACTCGCATGGCATCAAAAAGAAATAAAAAGTGTAAAAAATATTTAATAAGTAAATAATAAGAGCATGTAACTTTTTGCAGCTTCTCCATTTCAGCTGCAAATCAGCTTCTGAAGCAGCACAGATCCTTAGGGTCCCAGTTGCCTGGGCTCAGATATCGGTTCACAGAAGAATTAGCACCCACTGGCCTCCTGCACCCAAAGAGGCAGCTCTTGGTAGGCGGGAAGCAAAGGGTGGTATTCGTTTCAGCCAAGAAGGCCAGACCAGTTCTCTGTAGCTCATGTTCTTCTGACTCACACCCCTCAGTCCCATGGGCTGAGTAACTTTTCCAGCCTTGTGATTGTGGAAACTTGTTTCAGAACAGCGGATGTGGAAGGGACACTGGGCGAACCCACCCCAGGTTTCAGAATGGCTCGCGTGTTACTGGAGCCAATACAGCCCGCTCGTATCTGTTTGCAGTCTTAAATCACTGTGTCACTGCCTGAAGTCCATTCCCCTACCCTATTTCACAGTTGGTAAAGCAGAGGCCCAAAAGGAAGAGGAGGCGCTAGGAAGCAGCCTCCACACTTCTCCCTGCTAGGTCTAGTTCAGATCAGCCTCAGGGCTCAGGATTTAGTGCTTCCAGTCGGACGGATTTACGTTTGACCCTTCCTCCCCTCCTTCCCCCCCCTACCCGCCCCGCGCCACCTTTGCTTTGTACTTGCTGCCAAGTGTTTACAGTTTCTAGGGCCTAGCTCCGGCAGTTTGTCTGGTCTCATAAACTGCGGTCCCCGCCTTCGCAGGGGAGAGTCACTCCTATTTACTGCGCATCAGCCGCCACGTGCCCCATAAAAGCTGGTGACAACGCCGCCGGCCGGAGCGGGGAGGGAAGGAACCCCGCCTACGGGAGTCACGAGCCCACCAAGCCCCGCCCTCACGTGACCTGCGGGGCCCGTCCTTGCCAGTCTCACTACTTTCGGCGGAGACCGAAGGCTGGCGCCGGCCGTGTCGCCCAATCCCTGCCCTGCCAGCTAGAGACAGGCGGGGACAAGGGAGCGGTTCCGGGTTCAGAAAGAAAATCTCCATCTAAGGCAAAGCGGTAAAAAGGAGGTCGAGGGAAGGCAATAAAGTCACTTGTTTAATCTCCTCAATGCTGTAAACTCCCAGAAGGCAGAGATCACCATATTCCTAAGTGTATGGCACACAGGAGGCACTCAATAAATGGCTGATTGGCAACTGGACCTCGGACCCTGCTCGAATGCAGCGCCAGTCCTGCCGCCCTGCGAGCAGCCCCCTCACCCCTCTCCCTGGCGCCCTTCCAGCTGTGACACGGCAAATGAGGCAATGGTTCCGCCAACCAACACTTCCAAGCCTGCGACCTGCGGCACGTACAGGATCCTCAGTCGGCTTGTCTACACTGCAGTGGGCGCGGACAAAGACCCCAATCCACTCTCCGCGCCCCTGCCGATGGGCGGGAAGCGGAGCCTCAGCCTCACCCCACTGGTTCTTCTAGTGACAGACGGAATTATCAGCCAACCGCAGCCTAGGCAGGACGCATGCGTACCCATAAGATGTGCCCCTACATGGGGAAAACAGCCGAGAGTCAATTTTGGCTGGGTTTCGCCAGGTCTTCCCGGAGAGGGTGCGCATGCGTAAATCTAACGCCTCCTCTAAATCGAACGCGCTGCTCAGTTCGAGGGAAGACAGCGCCCTCTGTCCCCCTGGCTGTTTTCCGGAACTCCTAACCTCAGTCAACACTGCCTTGCGACTTGGCGCTACCTTGGAGATCCAGCAGAAAGGAGGCATCTTGGCTCCTGCCTCAGGGGTGATGCGACGGTCCCCAAACACAGCGAAGTCTTTGGCCTGGGTCTTTGCGCAGAAGCCCTAGGAGCGGGAGATCAACGATGCCGCAAACATTGATTTGAAGAAGATGCTTCGCAGTTTACGAAGTGCGTTATAGTCATTGTCTCAGAGGTTCCTCACAAAAAACCCTCCAGATAGCAGATAGGTTGTCAAGTAAAGAAGCTGACACTTGGCCGGGCGCGGTGGCTCACGCCTATAATCCCAGCACTTTGGGAGGCCGAGGCGGGTGGATCACGAGGTCAAGAGATCGAGACGGTCCTGGTCAACATGGTGAAACCCCGTCTCTAACCAAAAATACAAAAATTAGCTGGGCATGGTGGTGCATGCCTGTAGTCCCAGCTTCTCGGGAGGCTGAGGCAGGAGAATAGCTTGAACCCAGGAGGCGGAGGTTGCGGTTAGCCGAGATCGCGCCATTGCACTCCAGCCTGGGTAACAAGAGCGAAACTCCATCTCAAAAAAAAAAAAAAAAAAAGAAGCTGACACTCAAGAAGGTGAAGGGGACAAGTCCGAGGACACTGCCTGTCAAGGCGAAATGGCCTGGAACCCAGGCGACCCAACTGCACATTCTGTGCTCTTTGTTTCTATTTTATTTATTTATTTGAGACAGGGTCTTGCTCTGTCGCCCAGGCTGGAGGGCAGTGGCGCGATCTCGTGGCACAGTGGCGCAGTGGCTCACTACAACCTCCATATCCCAAGTTCAACCGATTCTTCTGCCTCAGCCTCCCGAGAAGCTGGGATTACAGGCACATACCGCCACACTCGGCTAATTTTTTGTATTTTTAGTGGAGACGGGGATTTCACCATGTTGGCCAGGCTGGTCTTGAACTCCTGACCTCAGGTGATCCACCCACCTCAGCCTCCCAAAGTGCTGGGGTTACAGCGTGAGCCAACGTGCCTGGCCCCATTCAGTGCTCTTTTGCCATGATAAGCAACTTCCTTGCTCACCAAGGAGCTTGTGTTTATTGATGTAATGGCACATAAGCTCAAGGAAAAGACAGTTTCAGTCTTTTTTTTTTAATCGACAATGAGTGCTAGAGGCGTTCCGAAATGGGAAAGATCACTTTGTGCTCCTGTGATCTGAGAAGACTGCACGAAGAAGATGAGACTTGGAATATGAGTACAAAGTACGTAGTTGGAGTGGATCAATCTTAAGAACAGGCCAGGCAAGGTAATCCCAGCACTGTAACCCCACGCCTGTAAGCCCAACACGTGAGGCCAGGGCAGGAAGATCACCTGAGCCCAGGAGTTCCAAAACAAGCAAAATTAAGCAATATAGTGTTTACATATATATGATAAAACTTTGGGAAAAGCGGCCGAGCACAGTGGCTCATGCCAGTAATCCCAGCACTTTGGGAGAACGAGGCAGGCAGATCACCTGAGGTTGGGGGTTCAAGACCAGCCTGGCCAACATGGAGAAACCCCATCTCTACTAAAAATACAAAATTAGCCGGGCGTGGTGGCGCATGCCTGTAATACCAGGCACTCAGGAGGCTGAAGCAGGAGAATCGCTTGAACCTGGGAGGCAGAGGTTGCAGTGAGCCAAGATTGCCATTGCATTCCAGCCTGGGCAAGAAGAGTGAAACTTCATCTCAAAAAAAACCCTTTGGAAAAGCAAGGAATGATAAGCACAAAATGTATTAATTGTTACCATAGAGAGATTGGGGATGGGAAGAGAAAAGACACACAGGTGGGTGCCATTGGTAATGGTCCAGTTTGGGGGCTAAATGATAGATTTATGGGTATGCATCTATGTATATAACACATATATAAACTATAATTATTCTTTCTATGTATAAAATGTAATATAAAAGATGATAATGGAATCATAGCCCCCCAAACCAGTACATTACATAGTTGAAGAGAGGGAAGGCCGGCCCTGCGTGGTGGCTCACGCCTGTAATCCCAGCACTTTGGAAGGCTGAGGCAGGCGGATCGCTTGAGTCGGGGAGTTTGAGACCAGCCTGGGCAACATGATAAAACCCTGTCTCTACTAAAGGTACAAAAATAAGCTGGGCGTGGTGGCATGCACCTGTAGTCCCAGCTACCTGGGAGGCTGAGGTGGGAGGATTGCTAGAGCCCAGGAGGTCTATGCTACCGTGAGCCAAGATCACACCACTGCACTCCAGCCTGGGTGGCAGAGTGAGATCCTGTCTTTAATCAAAAAGAGAAAGAGAGAGAGAGAGGGAAAGCCTTATGTGTATTGCACTTGGTTAAAGAGCATTTCTTTGGTTTTTTTGTTTTGTTTTTTGAGATGGAGTCTCACTCTGTTGCCCAGGCTAGAGTGCAATGGCATGATCTCGGCTCACTGCAACCTCCACCTCCCAGGTTCAAGCGATTCTCCTACCTCAACCTCCCAAATAGCTGGGATTACAGGCGCTGCCAACATGCCCAATTAATTTTTGTATTTTTAGTAGAGGCAGGGGTTTCACCATCTTGGTCAGGCTGGTCTCGAACTCCTGACCTCATGATCCAGCCACCTTGGCCTCCCAAAGTGCTGGGATTACAGGTGTGAGCCACTGCTCCCAGCCAGTTAAAGAGCATTTCTACACACTTTATACCAGGTAATTCACAAGAAGTCTTCAACGATCTCCATGTTAGAGATGAAACAACTCAACTAAAAGTCACTTAAAGCCGATGGGGACCCTGTGCAGCTATATATCCAGTGTCCCAAGCACTGTATCTAGCACATTAGTAAGCATGTTTTGTAGGTGAATGACAGAAGTTTCTAATTATCTTGGTGTCTGCTAGTGAAATGAGCTGGCTCTGAAGGTAGAGTCCCCTGCACTGCTGCTAGCTGACCATTATCAGGATCAGAAGTAATATAGAAGCAATTCTCTCTTCAGCAGAAGTTTGGATATAGATAACTTCTAAGGTTCTTTTCAACTATAAGGCTCTATGGGTCTTTCAGAGGCTGAAGGCAAAACCACATTAAGTTAATAAGTCTGGGACCGGGCGCGGTGGCTCACGCCTGTAATCCCACCACTTTGGGAAGCCAAGGTGGGTGGATCACGAGGTCAAGAGATCAAGACCATCCTGGTCAACATGGTGAAACCCCGTCTCTACTAAAAATACAAAAAATTAGCTGGGCATGGTGGCGTGTGCC